CAGATGTTGCTGCACACCCCGCGCAGCAGCGTCCCCAAATCCATAAGATTTAGCATGAATCTCTAATCTCTATATACATGTTTAGAATGAGAATACGAATGTGAACTTTGGTTTCAGACACAGTTATGAGACATCATTCATTTACCCCTTTACTTTGTTATTATTCACTGGGCCCCCGCTCGCTAGTTATTTATTATGTATGTAGGTGAGCAGGCTCGTGATCAGGCCTAAGATGATGCTTGAAGCATTTTTGTGTTTGTCTGCCACCTTTTGCGCCTCACAAGGAGGTTCCAGATCAAGTCATGTTTTGTGGCTATGTTAATATGGATGTATAAGATTGTTCCTTTTGCTTTATGAACAAGTTTTCTTTGATATGTACATGAAGTGACGTGTAAATACTATATCTTTTGTCGTCACTCGTATGTTATAAAGTTGAGATTATCTGTCCCATGTATGTCTTCACAGCTCAATAGACTATGTATATTTCATGTGTTTACTTTCGCAGCCCCTAATTACAAGTCTTATTGTTAAGAGGTCTTCGGTAATCCAAGGATTACTAGCCTGTTACGACGTTAAACCTATAGGGGTGGGTTTGGGTCGTGACACTTTCTCTAACAATAGTCCTAACGCAGAGTCCTCCATCTTGTGAACTGATGCCTCCGGCAAGTTCATCACTATTTCCATGTCTGATATCTGGGTCGGGATCAGGGGGCTTCCGAGCTCTAGCTTTGCTATCTATGAGAGATTTAGAGTGTCATGAAGTAGGGTAATTAGGTGGGAGAGATAAAGAGAGGTCTTCATTTATCTCCTCCATCGGGATTTCTGGAGATTTGCTGGTCGATTAGTGAGGGAAAGCTCTATTTGTGTGCAATCTTTGTCCTTATCTTTTTTGAAAACATAAGTCTTAAGCGAATGGTCTCTTGAGTTGAGTTGAGCCTATGGTGATGGGCTTTTTAGGGGGTGAACAAGGCCATCAAAATGGCTTGGGCGTTTGGTATAAGTAAATTGTTGGTGTGCAAAAATATTATCTGGCCCAATGGAGATTGGACGACTATATGAGGGACATGCCTCTTTTTCATGGCCCAGTCTAGTAGGTTTATTACCTTTGCTAGAACCCTCTTCCTGATGGGTTGGACTGCCCAATTCAGCAAATTTGTTGGAAAATTGGTTAGGCCCATTAGTCTGGGTTTTTCCATTGGGTGTAGGATGTCTGGTTCTTTTGGTGACTGACATCCACGGCCCAAAGTTAGTTTCTCTTTCCTCTAAAATCTGCAGATTGCCGTTTGTCTGACTATGTGGTGTTGGAGGGATCACAGAAACGGCTAGTCCAATGTCGACCGGCGGCGTACTGGTAACCGGTGAAGGTTGAGATATGGATTTTGCTGTTTTGTAACGACAGAGTTCCTTCCTGTGGTCCACCCTGCCACAAAAAAAATAAAAAAATAAAACAAAACAAAACAAAACAAAAAAGAATGAATAAATTCATATTCAATATTGTAGCTTTTCTTACCTAAAAGAAATTTGGGACAAAGGGGTTTGTTCAAGTCCATTTCGATGTAGACTTGAGTGAATTTGCCTCGTGTAGCCATGGCCGTAGTAAGGTCTATCTTGAGTGGTTTCCTAAGCTGCTTAGCAATGGTGTAGAGGACCCTTTCTTGGAAGTATTCAATCGGAACCTCCAAAAACCGTACCCAGACCGCGGTAGTGGTTTCAAAAGCTTCCAATGCCGTGAAATCAGGCTCCTATTTTTGAATAGTAAGGTAATGATCCATAATGACCCATGGACCTCTTGTATACACATGATCGCAATCTTCCTGAGAAGTAAATTTGAACAGAAAATAGTTATTGCCCAGATCTATGGCATTGAACTCGTCTTGTGTGGCCCATAGATTTTTAACTCTTGAACAGAGTGTCCTATATCCAATACTCTTGCCTTGAAGTCTAACAATGAGAGTATTGGTCCATGGTCACCTGATCTGCTGTAAAAGTTTTCTTGGAGGGCAATTCTAGAAATGTCATTTTGGGCATTAGGGCAGTCCTCGATTTGGATGTTAGCATCCCCATCCTCGTCTTCATCTGTCTCATCAGAGAGTATACTATCAACTGCATCATCAAAATAGAAATCATTCCCCGTAGGAGCTGCTAAGTTATCCTTAAAAGATTTTACCTAGGAGAGTCAGTAGGTGGGGTTGCTGAGGAAGATGGGAAATCCAATGTGGGTGGAGTTCAGTGGGTTAGAATCGGAGTGACCACCTCTTCAACCTCCATAGCCTCACCTCGCAATGGATATGCGTTCTTAACCTTTTTCGTGCTTTGGATGAGGTGATTTTCTTCTTCCTAAGAGATGGTGTTAGGATTGCACGGACTTCCAGAAGCGGAACTTATCGCTTGTTATGGGGTTCTTTTTAGGAGTTCAGATCTTCGGCCGCTCTTTCCAGCAGCACTCCCAACAGCACTCCAAAACGACGTCGTTTTGGAGTGAAAAAACGACGTCGTTTTGTTTAGTTGTTTTTTTTTTTTTGTTCCGAAAAATTCGAATTTCCCGCCTGATTGACTTCATCTTCGTCCCTATCTCCTCTGTTTTGCCCTAACAAACAACAAACCACGCAGCTGGATAGAGAGAGAGTTTTGACTTCATCTTCGTCCCTATCTCCTCTGTTTTGCCCTAACAAACCACGCAGCTGGATAGAGAGAGAGAGAGAAGAGAGGTGCTGGAGAACGGAGAGAACGATGGTGGACGGAGGCGACGGTAATGGAGAGAGGTTGGCGGATGGACGCAAGTCCGGCTGTGACGCGACGATGGCGGAGGGACGCGAGTCCGGCTGTGACGCGACGATGGCGGATGGACGTGAGTCCGGCTGTGACGAGGTAAATTTCAGTCTCTGTGTTATGTATATATGTATATTTCAGTCTCTATATTTACATTTTGTTTGGATAATCAATGTATACATTACAAATATGTCAAAGATGACCCCCCTAATCCAAAGATTGAGGCAGTTTCAAGTTGTTTCTTCTTCAAATGGGTAATTCTATTCTCTATTCTATTGCCAGATTCTGAAACAGAGTGCACTGTGCTCTGAACTCAGCCAAAAATGCACTGACAATAGAACCCAAAAACCACCGCATTTAATTTTGTAACGGTGAAGTCGTCGTCCATTCTTTGTCCCAATTTAATACTCTCTCTCTCTCGGTCTCTCTCCTATTCACTCTCTCTCTCTCTCTCTGGAGCTCTATAGCTCTATCTCTTTGTCTTCATTGTCTCTACTATATTCGCCTTTAGGCATTGCAGATCTTGCTTTCTTTCTCAGTTTGATTTCGACTTCAAAGGAAAACAAACTTCTTGGGAGTCTTGAAAGTGGGGCTTATACAGAGAATGACCCATTTCTAGTGAGTTCTTGATTGAATGTTTCCGAGTTATTTATTTTTTATTTTTAAAATGCTTACCCATTTGACTGAAACTGTTACACACCACAAAAATACATGTTTTTCTTTGCTGTTTCTGATTATTTGTGGTTTTGATTTAAGTTTTTATGCTTACTGGGTATCTTGGAGAATTGGGCTTTTTAAATTATCTTGTGTTAGATGGATGGAACAGCTTTGCCCTCTCTCTCTCTCTCTCTCTTTCTCTCTCTGCTGCTTGAAAACTAGGGCTTTTGGAGAACCTTGAATGTCAATGTAGGGTGAAAAAATTTTGGATGAAGAGGGCCCACTTTTTCATGCCTCTTGATCAAACATAGCTGTTTGGACTAACACTGATTAAAGAAAGCTAGATATTCTTCTTAATCTATAAATAGCAAATGTGTTTTGTTTAATCCTCTTTTATGCACCTTTAATGTTGATATTATTTTTGGAATCTGAATGAGCAATGGAGGGATATAAGGTGTGAATGTCATTGAAAGCTCCAATGTTTGAATTGAGTAACTCTACATACACAATTAAACCTCATAAAAGTACTAGACTGTATATGTGGTACCGCTGACTGATGATACATCGGGTGGGCTCTATCATGCTGTCTTGTACGTTCTTAGTAATTATTTATTTTTATTTTTTGTAGTTTAATTTGGTGTGTGTAGAATTATTTCTGTGAATTTGTTTCTGGATCATACCAAAGAATGCTTATATCCAAGGCTACATTGCAGATGCATTTGAGTTTCTGTAAATCTTGAAATGATTTTGGGGTGTCAATGAGAAAATGGATGTTGAGAAACGAGCTTCAAAAGGGGGTTTTCTTCAGTTGTTTGACTGGAATGTTAAATCTAGGAAGAAGCTGTTCTCGAACAAGTCAGAATTACCTGGTACAGATTTTATTTTGACCCTTTTGTACGTTTTGATCATATGTGTTCATCTTTGTTCTTAATTTTTTGCTTTTCTAATGTTTTGTTTTGTTGATTGAATGGAGAGGAGAGGAAATGAGAGAGAAAAAAATCCAGATTTACAGAAAGTGCTTGATTGGGATGGTGTGATGGAATTGTTATAACAAGAAAGAGATTGGGATGGTGTGAGAGAAAGAGAGAGAGATACACCTGGGTTAAGGTTTCAAAGGATTTGCAAATCGACTTAGTAACAATTGAAGGATTTCAAGTTGCCTAAGATAAATCTGGGTTAGGGTTTCAAAGAATTTACAAAGAATCATCTTTTCGAAATTTTACTCCAGGAAACAATTAACAAACCTTACAAAAAATCTGTTTTGTGTGACTATTTGCTGGTTTGATTGCGATTTTGTAAATTTATTGTATAATATGTTTGGAAAATGACTTGTTTGATGGTTGAGGTTTTTGAAAATTTTAGAAAAGGAAAAGATTTACAATTAACTAATACAGCTAATCTAAATTCTAATTAACAGCTACTACAGCTAACCTAATTAACAGCTACTATAAATAATTAAAAATGACAACTAATCCCTAGTTGTACACATATCAACACTCCCTCTCAAGTTGGGGCATAGATATCGCGGATACTGTAAAAATCTCGACCCTTGATTAGCGTTAATTCATACTAGTGTGGAGTTGGTTATGCAGGACACAAGCATTCTTGGAGCAGAAAGCCACCCTCTTCATCTCCACGGATTCAATTTCTTTGTTGTTGGACAAGGTTTCGGGAACTATGACCCAAATGAGGACCCGAAAAGCTTCAATCTTGTTGACCCAATTGAAAGGAACACGGTTGGTGTGCCCTCGGGTGGGTGGATTGCGATTCGGTTTCTAGCAGATAACCCAGGTAAAAATGAAAAGAAGAATGATATTTAATTACAAAATACATACATTTAAAAATTGAAGTAAAAATGATAAGTTATTTTGGATCACCAAATGCAGAATAATTTTATCTTCAAATAATCTAAACTTATCCCAATATCATATATGAATGCTGTTAAATAAATAAAACAATGCATACAGAGGCATCTACCATGCAAATTCAATGTTTTGCTTTTTTATGGTAATAACTATATACGTGTAAATAATAGGTGTATGGTTCATGCATTGTCACTTGGAAGTCCACACGAGTTGGGGATTGAAGATGGCTTGGCTTGTCTTAGATGGAAAGCTTCCCAATCAAAAGCTGCTTCCTCCACCGTCTGATCTTCCCAAATGTTAGAATTTTCATTTCATCATTATCGCTTGCGATGATCAGATGGCCAGCAGAATTTTTTTTTTTTGGAATTAAATTTGAGATTATTTTGTTGAGATAATTGAAGGAAAGAAGAGTTGAGAATTTCTTTTTTTGTAACACTCAAATATGGCTATGCAATGATGCAACAATAATACGTTTGGATTATATATTGAGATTTTTCATTTTTTGTTCTTTTGACTTTGCGTAAGACATGTGAATTGAACCTTTTCTTTTTCTTTTCTTTTTTTTTTTTTTGGTTATTTGAAGTTGGTAGATATTACTTAGTTATCAGGATAGGGGCATTGGTCATTTAATTAGTAGTTTAGGTCATTTAATTAGTAGTTTAGGAAGTCGTTTTTGTTCTTTTCTTGATTAGTTATGTTGGATAGTGTCTGACCTAGCTATTGAAGTTTTGGAAATTAGTTTGGTCTTTTGATTGCTAATAATTATCTTTCTCTAATTAATCTTTAGCTAGGTGTTGGAAGGCAGCTGTCTTCAAGAGCAATTGGTCTTTGAGACAGAAGTGAAATATGAAATTATTATGTATTTTTATATCTAGGTGTTGGAAGGCAGCTGTCATCAAGAGCAATTGGTCTTTGTGACAGAAGTGAAATATGGAATTACTATATATTTTTGTATCTTGAATATGGTGTAAATCACTAGCTTAAATATTCAGAAAATGTGGAGTTTTTAGTAAGCTAAATTTGAAGAATAGGAATAATTAATTGACAGTCATTTATGGTGCAAGTGCATGCCCAACGTTGGTGGTACTCCGTTAATTTCTACTGTTTCATCGATGTGATGCATGTTTGGACTAAAATAACGAATATTCGGAATAAACGACAAAAAATTAAACTAAAGTAGCTCATCTCAATCGTCATCATTATTAACATAACGAGATTAGTTCTCTTTTTATGTAAAACAAAAATGACTTGATTTTAAGCAAATGTCCAACCTTATGAAGCATGGTATTTCGAAAAACATGTCGTACCGGTGTATAATATTTCGTATGGTACTTCTGCATATGTGCTGGATACACGAAACATGTACTTAAAATTTTTCTTCTTAATTTTTGGCATACCCAAACGTACCTAATATATATCCACGCTGTACCGTACCTCAGTTAAAATAATATTTTCTTCTACAAAGATAAAACTGCTTTCACTAGATTTTTATTTTATTTTTTGTTTTATGCTTAGCATGATTTTAAAATTAAACTATGGTTTGTAAGTTATTTAATATATTGATATTTAATTTTGATCTATACTTTTACTTTTGACATTAAATGTTAATTATAGATTGGACCTTAACAAATTAAACCATTTAATTAATTTTTGCATTACTCTAAATTAAAAATAAATATTTTTTTTACAAGCATACCAAGGTGTACCCATACCCTATTTTTTTTTGTTTTGAATTTTACCATATCGACGTACCCGTATCATACCAGTACCAATACTCGTATCCGTACCCGTGCTTCATAGATTATAGACAAATTACTATCCAAAGCAACTCTAAAAGCAAATAACAAATCCTACCAACAGGCATGAACTTTGCAATATATGGAGAGTGAAATCATGCAGCTGCAAGAACAAGATGAAATCATATGGATGAGCTGAGGTAATAGGTTCGAAACTAAGACCTTTCAAGCATCCACATATCAGGACATTGCTTGGAAGCCACATAATTCTGGTTCTACATCCTTCGGAAAAACAAACTCAAGGCTCAGAGGTGGCCTAAAGTTGAAGAATGCAGCAACCCAAATATATTGAACATACCAATGGCTCATCACAAGCTCTCTTGTTGTAGCTAATCCGAGATTGAATCATTGTCTAGACCAAGAGAAAGTGGCAAACCCCAACATCTTTAGAGATTTGGAAGCAAAGTGTACAAGCCTCCTACTTCAGCCCTGGAAAATGCAGGGGAAGCATCAATGATGACCTCATAAAAACTGTTTACATTGCCAAATGGTATGGAGATAATCAGTTATTCAAAGAATGGACCCGACAAAATACTCATCAAAATGAAAAGCACATCTGCGCTTTCTTAAAACCCGTAACTCCCAAAGTGGGGAACTTCATAAACTTTGCTTAAATGAAACAAAGGAGGAAAATACACTCAACACAATACAAGTAAATAGAAAATCATAAGCATAAATTACAAAGGTGTTTGAAGACAAAAGAGTTACACCTGTCACAGTAAATTCATGTAAACAAGGAATTAACTATACATCTGATCATTATTTGAAAATTTTTATTGCATTATGCATTGAAAGATAAACAGTACATGGGCCAATAGACTAAAAAGAAGGATGTAAGATACGCAAGAGTTCTCCACTGCATTATAGAAGTCTCTGATATAAACATAATCTAGATCACTACCGATTTTTATAACCAAATAGAAGCAACAGATTAACAACATTTCATCCTGCTTCTTACAATGATGCATAAGCATTGTACCAATGGAAAAACAAAATCTATTCATAGAAAATGAAAGAAGAGGGAGAGAATAGGTTCCCTGTCAACTAATAGGAATGCTTGTAGCAGTAGAAACCAAGTTCCTTAGCTCCATCAAATGTTCATCATTTGATATATGAAGTGAAAGACGAAGATTCGTCACCAATGTTTCTTGCTCCCAACTTAAGGGTCCCGATGCATGCAATGCCTCCATAGTGCAACGGTACGCATGCAACTCTAACCTGTGGATTTCTTCCGCCAATTCCTCTCGGGTGGGAAGGAGACAATTCCCTTCCTCATGACCCCACCTAAAAACAGACTCAGCATCACTAAAATTACCATCTTCAACACGACCTCCAGAAAAATTACAATGCAACTTAAAGGAATTATGACTATTAACGCTACAACTAGCCACAGAGCATGGAAAATTATCTGTATCATTACACCCAACAGCTCCACTTGGTTTCTCCCTCCCCACATGCACTTCAATAAAGTTATTTGTTTCACTAACCATTTCTCGATGGGAAGCAACAGCGTCTACCTTTTCAGGTAAAGGGGATGGATTTGCAGCAAGCAATCGATGACACCTACCCTCTTTTTCAATTACTCTAAATTTCTGGGAAGTTCTTGCAGGTGCCTCAACTTGAGAATAGCAATTGGAAAATCCTCTCTTCAGAGTTCTTGAGGAAACAATTCGTGATTCCTGGAAATTGGCTTTGTTCTTAGCAGTACAGTGTTCATCTTTTACGTGGAAAGTCATCCTTGTATCTGTTTTCTTAACTTGGGAACTCAGCTTATGATTGTACTTCAGAATTGACCATTCACAATGTTTCCCATCTTCACAGTTGCTACCACCCTGCTTGCACCAAAATAAAATAAATAACAAAAAAAAAAAAAAAAGGGAGAAGTTGCTCTCAAACCCATTAACACCACATTTTCTAACATGCATTCAGTTGTTGAAATTGTACGGAAAATGGAAATTAGAAGATGATCAATATTGCTCTAAAAAGCCCCAAACTAATCAATCAATCAAATACCATCTTCCATTGCATTTTCTATTTCTGTGAAACGTTATGTGATCCATTCTGTGTTCCTAGTATTGCTGATGAAATTTTTTACAGAATCAAGAGAATGCAAAACAAGAACTCCTAAATAATGCTCTCATTATTGTGGAAGATTAAGTATTCAAGTTGCATATATAAAGTAGAGATAAAACTACCTTTCCAATCACGAACCATTTGTCGTCTTCCCAAGACTGTCGCACCCGAAGGTCAAATTTACTGAGTTTGAATTCATGGGAAGATCCAAGTAACCTAACCAAAAAGTAATTCCTACCCAAAATCTTAGACACAGTTGCCATCTTCCAAGAGAAATTCTGAAACACCTCTACAACATCACCCGGAACCCAATTCTCTGATAGTTCAACCAAAGGAGGATAAGGCCTAATTGACTTCCTAGATACCCTTCCAACAATTGCCTCATTAGTAGCACCAGGGTCCATCTCGTATCTAACGGTGTAGTTGTGCCCATTGCCACAAATTATCTCGGCACAATGCCAATAACCCGATGGCACCTCATTTTTGCACAAGATCTCCACTTTACTCCCTTTCTTGAATCTCATGATCACTATATTTTCAATTCCAAATGCAGCAAACCTATTGTTCAATAACAACAAAAGATAATAACAAATTGAAAACAAAAAAATAAATGAACTTAAAATTCCACAATGAAACAAAATGAAAACAAATATATAAATAGGATTAATTTCACTTTTATCCCCTAAACTATCACCATTTTTTCTATTTCATCCAGAAGTTTCTGATTTTAGTTCATATTGTCCAATTGGAGACGATTGTATAAATCAACCCGTTGAAGCTTGACTTGATGGGCAAAAAGTTCATTTCAATTTGAACTTGAACCATACAATCAAACGCTCATTTTTCTTACTATTTCGAACAAACTACCGACCACAACCAATTTGATGGTTGTTTCATTGTATGGTTAAATTGTTCAAATTTTGAAATTATTTTTTTAACCATCAAATCAGGCTTCAATGGTTATTGATTTTTACAATCATCTGTAATTGGACTACATGAACTGAAATCGGAAATTTTAAGGGCTAACCATATGAAATTTATAGTTTAGGTATGAAATGGGGAAAAAAATGGTTAAAATTTAAGGAATAAAGTGAAATTAACCCTAAATAGAATCCAAACGTCTAGCAATGAAGAAGAACAAGCGGATTGAGAGAAATTGAAACAATTGAGGAATTTAGAGAGAGAAAGAGAGAGAACTAAAATGCAGTAGTTTAATAATTACAGATAGTAGTATATGATGATTGATAAGACAAGATGTATACATGTCCATTAAAAATTTAAACTGAGTGAGTGTTTATGAAATTGCTACAATTGAAATCATCTTTATATCTACACATCTTTGTGGATATATATATATATATATATACACAGATAAATAGTGATCAGAAAGCAACATTAAATAGGTAAGCCTAACCCTAAAGATCATCAAACTATACCTTCCTGCAAATCTTCAAGCAAAAAAGAAAAACAACATACTAAAACAGAAACAGTCACGGCAGAAAACATTCCAGAGAACAACATTCAAAAACAAGACCTAGTCAGAACTAAAACCCACAAAACAAAAACAAAACAAAACAAAACAAAACAAAAATGTTTTTCGGAAGCAATTCAAATTGAATAGATAATTCACCAAAAAATCAAAATCAGAGAGATTGAATGGTAAAACAATTGATCGAATTGGAGCACAAACACACGCGCGCGCACACACACACACACATACACACACAGAGAATGAACTGACCTTAATCGGCGATTTTACGATCGAAAGAGAGGGGGTTTGGTTTGTTCTTCTCTGGAATTTATGTTGTTTCAGTCTCTTTAATATTACTATTGTTGTTTTGTTTTTGTGTTTTTTGTGTTTTTGTTTTTGAAAAACTAACAAAGAGAGAGAGACTCCTAATAAATGAGGGACTAGTTAATTTTAATTTTTTATTATTTTATTAATTTAAAATATTTGTATTTGATAAGATGGTGAAATTTTTTTTTATAATTAGATATAATTTTTATAAAAAATAAAATAATTATAAATTTAGAGTGTATCTAAAAAAAAAAAAAAAAAAAACAAGCCCTTGCCATATTACTTGTTGGGAAAATCAATGGTGCAAGCCATTAAAATTGGTAAATGATAAAAAATATCACGTCATTTGTAATATTAATTATTGTCACTTTGTAGCAAAATTTAGGAATGAACGAATTTTTAAAGTGAAAATTACAAGTTGTTTTGATTATATTATGAGCATTGTCGTTATTGTGTGGCGAAAATATCATGAATTGAGGTGTACAAACTGACACGTCCACAAAGACAAGTTGACATTTATTTAAACCAAGGCCAACCTTTTAAATGATTATATGAGATTGTCACCAAGATTCTTCATTAGAAATAATCATTGAGGATAAGTCAGTTTTAGCAAGTTAGCCCTCCTTTGAAAAGTGGGTTTTTTTTTTTTTTTTTTTTTTGAAAATTTTAGCCTATTTTTAAGTGGGACTTAATTTTTTAAGTGATACCATATATGTACAATCAAACCAGCTTAATTAAGAAATCACTTAATATTTTCAATTTTAAGAGCTGAATTGGGCTATCAAACACCCCCTATTATAAATTAATATCTTTTCATTTAAGTTGTACCTTAATATCATATTTATACAGAAATATTATATTTAAATTATAATCAGTTTACTTTTTCTTCTTAAAAAAATTAAAAAAATTAAAAAAACAAACCTAAACGAATTTTTTAGCGCCCCAGATAATCTATGCTATTCTACATATTTGTTATAGGTCATTGACATTATAGATAGCTAAAGATAGGCTTTTTATAGCGAAAGATAGGCTTTTTTATTAATGTAAATATGACATTATTTTATTTTATTTTAAAATATCTCAATAGAATGAGATTCTAAAGATAAGCTATTCATAGAGATCATAATCAAAGATCAACTTGGTAATTATGGAGTGTTTTGAAAAACTTTTTAATTTTTTGATTTTTTTGTTGAATTTTTTGGCCAGGTTGTTTTGGGTAAAAAAGTTGGTTTTTTTTTTGACAAAAAATTAGGTTGTTTTAAGTAAAAAAAACTGATTTTTTTAATTAAAAAAATTAAAAAATTAAAAAATTGACTTTTGTAGTACGTTGTCAAAATAGAAAAAAGCTGGCTTTTTTAGGAGTTGTTTGGGATGACCTAAATAAATGTATTTTTTATCTTTTTACGAAAAAATGTACAGAAAAATAGAGAAGTAATTTGATGAAAAAAAAATAAAAAAATAAAAAGATAAATTATTTCCAACTTCCCAAACTTGGCCTTAGTATAAACCAAGGCCAACCTTTTTTAGTATATTTATATCTAACCTATGCCATGTTGTTGACCTCCGAGATAGGAGTAGACCTGGAGAATAATAAGATTCATTTAAAAATTAACTATAAAAATAGAAGCAAAACAAAAATTTGGTAACATTTTATTTTTAGTTTTCAATTTATATTTATAAAAATTTAAAAAACTATCATATAAACTTGTTTTTGTAATTTTTTGAGTTTATAAATAAATTTCCTCAAATTAAAAACTAAGGTGAAAACCATAAACTCAAAAAAAGTTCTTACAATTGTTTATAAACGGATGTAAATGTGGAGAAAAAGCGAAAGTAACCTAGTTTTTGTGTTTTTATTTAAACTAAATGTGTTTGTAGTTTTTATTTTTTTAAAAATAAATAAAAGTTAGTTTATAATTTTTTTATGAACATAAACAACAAAAAAGTAACATTTCCAAACGCCACTATAGTATATTTAAAAAAAAAAGTTTTCAAAAGAAATTTTGAATATAACCCACTTTAAAAAAAAAAAACTATTAAAAAGTCAAATTTAAATTTTTATACAGGATGGGTATTTTCAAACTTTTCATGGTGTGACATTCGTTACAATAGGGTGCGTTTACTTGGACAGATTGAATAAGGGGGATTATAATCTATCAGACTATTAGTTCTGGGATACATTGTCCCAAGACTATTTGGTTGGACTAAATTTGTATTCTATGTTTGTTTAGTCATGGGATTAGATGTTTGGATTGGACTATTTTTAGGTCAAGTTTGGTATCCTTAAAATAATCCATCTTTTTATCTTTTTATCTTTTTTTCATCACATCACCTCTCTACTTTTCTGCACATCTTTTCGTAAAAAGACAAAAAGTGTACTTATTTAGATCATCCCAAACAGCCCCTTAATTATCCAATGTTTGTTTGGGATATTATGAAAAAGGATAAATGCTCAAATGACTATTTTATCCTTTTCAATTATTTACTAAGTAATAGCAATATTAAACATAGCTTTAATATTTTAATTATTTTTAACTAGATTAAATAAAAATTTGTTTTATTTTATTTTTTTGCACAATATTTTAATTTATTATTTTCAATTAAATTAAATTTATAATTTATAATTTATATTTTTTATTTAATAAATAATTTTAAATTAATGACAATAAAAAATAATTTTATTTAATATATAAATTAAATTTTCAACAACACTAAAAAAATTTAATTTATAAGGCCATAATTTATAATTTATTATTTTTAAATAAATTTAACGTTCCAAACATATTTTAGCCAAAAAGCTAAAAAATTTGTAAATCAGCCTGTTCCCAAACGAGCCCAGTCTCCACTTTAGTCATGACGCAGGCTAGATTGTAATTTATCGGACTATTAGTCCTGGGATACATTGTCCTAGGATTATTTTGTTGGACTAAACTTGTATCTTATGTTTGTTTAGTCATGGAATTAGATGTCTAGATTGGACTATTTTTAGTTATATAATGTTTGTTTGAAATATTATGGAGAAGGATAAATGCTCAAATGACTATTTTATCCTTTTCTAATTGTTTGCTAAGTAATAGCATGGAGGGTAAAATGGACATTTCACAAAATAATCCCATGAGATACCAATCCCATGGTTTCTATCCCACCTCCCCCCATGGGATAGAATAGTCCCATATTTGTGGGACTAATAGTCCGGGAAAAAAAAATGAAACAAACAATGAACTATTAATCCGGTGAGATTAATAGTCCAATCTCACCCCTTAATCCTTCAAAACAAACACACCCATAGCGTAGTTAGTCAAAATAAAATTATAAAAATATGAGAAAGGATAATTTGCATAGTGAATGATGATTTTATTTGAAATGTATTTGTCATTATTTTTTTAGTAAGCCAAACATGAGAATGAACAATTTCATAGAATGATCCATTTCATTTTATTTCAATATACCAAACATTAACTTAAACTTTAATTTAATATACCACTTCCAAAATTTGTTAATCTTACAGCAAATATAGTAGGAAATAACTAACTTAATTTGATGCTCTGAGGAAGTTTATCATAAAAACATGTATCACCCAATTATAATTAGCCATGCCACATATTCACAAAAAAAAAAAAAAAAGAAGTTCGCAATTTAAAATGCATTCACCATGTTTATTACGAGTTGGCTCACAATGACAATATTTTAAATTCTAAATATTTTTTAAATTTTTTTTGGGATACATAGTAATTTGGAATTGTAATACATGTCTTATTTTTTTGTCCTACAATGTTGCCATCCTTACTGAAAGCCAGTGACCCGTTTAATCTTATTCCAATAAATTATTTTTCTACCCTTATAAAAAAAAATTTATTCAAAATTTTCTACTAATAGCAAAAGAACCTTGAGAGTTTTTTTTAATCGAAAAGCAATTTGGTACTTCCATTTCATTAGATGGGCAACAAGAGTTGAGAAAATTTAACTTCGTTTGAGATCAGAATTCTCTAAAGCTTAATAAAGATTTAATAATAAATTGGTTCAAGTACTATATAAAAATGGGTCCTGTTTAAGGTTGTCAATAACAATCACATAATATCAAAATATTTATAATCTCAATTTACATTTCACATATCTCAAAATATTTTTATATATTTTTTACACATTTTAATATGCATATTTCAACAATAACAATAATCTTATGAAGAAAAAAAAAATCTTAAGAGTTTTGTTTAGCATTTTTCAACAAAATTGATTAAAAAAAATGAAGAAAATTTGAAAAAAAAATGATTAATTACACCAAGACTCATTAATTATTAGTGAATATTACTTTATCCTCTCATTTATGAAACCGTATATATTGACCCTTCAACTATGAAAATCGTAAATAAATAAATAATAACTCTTTTGGAGATGGTTTAGAATAAGTGAAAGTGATACATTTTAAAGTTGAATGATAGATAAGAAAAATAAAATAATATCCACTAATAGGTGAAAGTATCCCCAAAAAATGAACAGTTGAAGCATTGACATGTACTAGAACCACAAAAAAATGAACCAGCCAGGAAAATTTGGAACAAGTTGTTTTTCCAAAGAATAGAAGAGGTAAGGGAGACATTTTCTGAAACTTGAAAATGAAAGAAAAAGCCAGAAAGAGTCAGTCAATCCACATGGAATGGAACCCTAGTTTTCCACCCTATCATTATCAACATGTCTATTTCACATTGTAATTAGCAACAAACTACAATAACTCAGAGGTAACAATTTCTTGTTTCTGTCCAAATATATTACCATAAAAATTCTTCTAGGTCTTTTATGATTTTAGATACAACATTAGCTATTAATCATTTTAGTTGACACTTCTCAACGACCGAACAAGCAATCAACAGCACTATATTATGCATTTTGATATGATATATTTCTTTTCTTTTTTTTTGGGGGTGTGTAGTTTTCTCTTCTATATGCGCTTGCCTACAAAAATCGGGGAGAACTCTTTTCCTTTAAAAAATGACAATATCAACCGCTATGCGAAATTAAGTATTTTTATTGTTTTTAAAACTGTTGTTAAATGTTGAATTATTTTTTTCTCTTTCAAATTACTTCATACAATTAAAATC